TGTGTAATCCGATGGCGTTATCGTTCATACATTACGCCTAACATTTATGTTTCGTATACAGTTTGATGACCAGAACGACAGTCCCTTTATCGTATTCGCACGCCATGGTTTAGGTGTGTTGTATGGCAGCCCTCTGATTGGCCGCTTCCCCCTGAAAAATTGTATCTTCGTATACTCAATAAAAGGAATTAAAAGTAAAACTGATAAAAAAATACACCATACCTACCCGCTTAATCTAGACGTGGTGGTGATGGTAGTATTGTCCATCTAGACTATACTCCGATTGAAAAAAGGTTGAAAAAGTCGGTCGATTTCACGACAGATCGGTAATATTTGAAAAATTTCAAACTCCCGTGTATCGAGCAAACTCTGAAAAGGATTCAGTTTGCTTTTCCTAAAGTCAAAACAATGACTACTATGAGATCTTACATGTCAAACAAAAAGCGGATAGCGATTGATGTGAGATGCGAACGTAAATCATAGCAAAGGTGAATTCGGAAAAAAATATATATGCACAGTTACCGGTTTCCAATCTGGAACATCGGTAGGCGGATGTTGAAATGTGGGGCCGAAATTGACCGATACGGTGGCCGAACGATAAATAGACAGACTGGGGAAGTACACGCCTGCATACACATCTGAGAATGCGGTGCCCATATTCTCTCCGTTGTGAGAGAATGTGATCTGATTGACGGGATAAATTAGAAGCGATAGGAAGGAAGAATCGTTGAAACGTTCAGAATTTAATCAACGAAATAGCATAAAGTTCGTCATCATTGATCGCTTAACAATCAATCTGTTTGTTGCCACGGTAGTATTACTGCAGCAGACTGTTTCATTACTTGCTCATCCTAACGGGAGAAGGAGATTGCCGTGACACATTGCACCCGCCTTGGATGGAGCAACCTAAACCACCAGACAGTTACTTGATGATAAATGTTGTGGTAAATCCCGTTTAGAAAATCGAAGATGGACAAATCAAAACCGAGAACGAAGTGCCCTTAGAGCTTAGGTGACACATTTTCTACGAGCAAAGTCCTCAAGATTGAATGCAACAGCATAAGAGTGCGGATCACCCACATAGTGGGGTAGAAGAGGGTACTTCGTAGAGACACAATCAAGGCTCTAATTCGAATCACAAAATTAGCGGGCCAGAGGAGCACGTGCTGACAACAGTAATTAGGGAGCGCTGCAGAGCCCAGTGTTTCACTATACTCCCCATATAAACCGCAGTACGGGAGAGCCGCGAAGCTGATTCATCTCCTCGAAGAAGCTAGGTCGAATCAGGACTTGATCATCAAGTCAATATAGACGCATGCACGAGCAGAGAGCACCAAATATTGGCTACACTAGTATATCGATGACTGGTCAGGTCTATTTCACACAAATAATGAGAACAAGTATATTCTATAGAAAACAGGGGCACATATGGGAAAATATTGGTCCAAATCTACACGTCAGCTTCCGAATCGTCTGTCCTCACCAAATTGGGATTATAAAACAAGAAACTATATCTGCCCAGTTAGGGGTATGAATCGTTCGATCTGGTTTCAAACGGCTGGTACTCCCTTCCTACACGAACCTAGTCAAATCCAGTCAAACAAGTCGCCTTTTTAGAGTGGTTGTGTACACCGCAGTCGGCGACTCATATTACAAAACGGTCGCGCTCTATCCCTTTCTAGCATACACACATTCGCGAATAGCTATCAAATTTCTAAGCCTACCAACACTTCGTACTACGCTATCTACTGACTAGCCGAAGAAAACATATTTCCGTCTCCCACCCACACACATCCTCAGTGCTGCACACACCTCACCTAACGGAGGCAACGGGATGAACGAAGGGAAGGAGGAATAGAAATTAGATGACTGGTTAGTCTGCTCCTCGTTCGACAGGCATGATCTTTAGCCAGTTCACATATGGCAAATCAGATTTATTCCACCTGTGGCAACGCATAGGTGAAATCGCTACAGGCGTCACATTCCCCATCCATACATCCATTTGGATGAAATGGACTGTCCCACATCCAGGGAAAATATAGATACGTTAAATTATTGGAATAAACCGCGGAAAGGTGATATGAATGCTTGAGGAAATAAAATGCAATATCCGTTATATCATGAAACTCATATGACGTGTTATACAGCTTCATGAATAGATGGAACACATTGTGTATTGTGCATGGTGTAAAACTTTCGCAAGTACTGGAGCTCACATTTCAGTTTCAAAATCATGCCACTCGTCAAAAAGTACATAATCAAAGAGGAGGAAGATTTTACAGAAATGGAGATCTTTCATAATCCAAGGTTAAGACAAAGTTCACTTATTGCCCTCTCTTTTGGTTTGTGAGTAAACGAGCATGATACGGTGTTGATGAATTTCGTTACGCTTCAATTAGAGATAGATTTAGACGGGATTGGCAGTGTGTGAAATTATGGGAACGACAACGTGTCAGTTTTGCGTGCCATGGGTGGTCAGGATCTGTGAGAATCCGCTCCGCAACTTTCATGCAAGAAGTTATGTGATACCCTGAAAGCTTGATAGCTAACTCATTCACAGGAATAGAAGAGACACGACTAGTAATAGGTAGATCGAGGTGTGAGACTTTTAAATCCTGTTTTAGCAAGTCGGAAAATAACTGGGGAACATTAGAGTAAGATGGAGAAAACATACTGATAAACAGAAGTTGAAATAACTGACTGGGATGTGTTACACTGCCTGAGCTTTCGAATTTAAAATGATAGACGCCGCAGTTTACCAATGCAGTTTTGGATGTGGGTTGACCAATGAAGATTGCTATCTATGGTTATACCAAGATTTTAGCAGAGTTCACTCTAGATAAAGGGTTATTTTTAATCACTGTTTGGTCTGTCGAATATGAAGAGCGAGCAAAACTATGTAAACACTCAACACATTTACTGGGATCTAAGGTTAGTCCCAATAAGAAGCAGAATGATTAAACTTGATCAAGATTGTCGGGAAAGGATCTTACATCGGAGTAGGAAGAAATGGGTTGGCACAACACGATTTATCCTGTCTATTTCAAAAT